AAAATCTACTTGTCAGTAACACTGGTTCATGACTTTCAGTTTGCACTATATCCTGAAGGCATAAACTATATCTAGAAGGGCAACATGCTAAGAAAAGCTTTTTAACACTTTTCACTTAATTTGAAACCCAGCACTCCCGCTGACTGAGAAGCAGTGACACGCAGTCACCAATCGTGGTGGTTAGGGTTGTGTGTCAACTTGGCAGGGCCTGGGTGAGTGGCTAGGCAGCTGGTTGATCCCCATGAGGAGACTGGCAGTCAGCTCCACGGTGGGATCTACCACAAGTAGCTGAGTAGCTGCTTTACGGATGTGGTCTGCTTCCCGTATAAAGCAGCAGCTTTGGGGATGGTCTCTAGCCTATGGCACGCTTGAACCCTGCCTGTAGCTGTGTCATTGTTCAGCAGCCTGCCATGCTCTGCCGACCTTGGGACTCTCAATGGACTTGAATTAATGGCCTGCCGTGTGGTTGGTAACATCAGGACTGTGTCTTTTCACTTGTCAACTTTGGGTTTGCCAGCCTCAGCCAGCAGCTGAGTGAAGAAAAGCCTCCAGCTTCAGTGAGCCGGGAGCGGGAGGCAGAGCTGAAGCCCAAGGCTGTGGGGCCCATACCCAGCGACTGGAGCCTGGCACTTTGAACTCGGACTTAAAGCCTCCAAACTGGGAGAGAATAACCTCCTGTTTGTTCAAGCCTCCCACCTCTGGTCTAGTCCTGTGAGAGCGGCACCAGGTGACCAGAATGCCCATCTGCCATCTGCATCACCTCTACTGCAACATCTACTCGTGCTCTTCTGGGGTTTCTCTGTACTTTGTACTGGAAACCCACTGGGTGGCTGTACGATGTAAAGCCAGGCCTTAGTGTGGAGTAGGTCAGAGTCACTGCTTTTGAGAATCAGAGAGCTGCAGTTCTCGTCCACTCCTGACTCAGGGCATGTTCAAGCCCTGGTGGCCTCCTGCTGTCCATGGGTAAAATGCCAGACCAACGAGGATGCTGGACAAATCACACAGAGACCTCATTAATGGGTTTCAGACTGCAGGTGTGTGCATGAGTCAGTCATACCAAAGACACACTGCCAAATATAGAACAGTTTATTTAACAAAACCACAACTCCCAGATCCATGTACAGAAACAATACAAAAGCTGAAGCCTAGTCCAGCAGTTCAAGTTCCCATTAACACTCCGAATCGTTCCTAGCCGCCACGGCTAACTGTGCACAGAACGCTTTCTCCCTACATCCCCCATCGTTGGTGGGCAGTCTTAACAGGACTCAAAGTAAAGCTGAACCGCCGAGGCAAGCTGCAAACAGCTTCCAGTTGTTTGAGTTGTTTTGTACCTTCAGATGGGCTACAGAGGCTTAAACACTTCTTGATGCATGTTCTTACTTAAAGAAAACTGACATCAATTGTTGGATTATTACTATTATTTTTTTGAAGCAGCAAATAAAATAAAGTCATGACCGGCCTGAACCACAAACTTGGTGATGGCAAGATCTGGCAGACGATGGAGACCACGTATGTAACCTTTACAGGTGATTTTTGCAGCACCCAAGAACATTTTATGTTTAGAAACAATGCCCCCACCCTCAACAGATGTTCATTCATGTAAAGAGAGCCAGAGAGCAACCACATGACTTGTGGAAGGAAAGAATAACACTTGTTTACATTGATACGTCAGCCCGTGGAGGTGTGGTTTCTGAAGGCCCTGTCACTTCACCCGTGGGGGTTTGCTGGAGAAGGCAGGTCGGTCTGGAGTGGTCAGGGCTCCGACGAGGAAAGGCCGTGCACCCAACACCTATCCCCGAGCACAGGGCTGCAGGCCACAGGCCACACTAAGGCACTCACCTAGTTTATCTGGAGAGAAGAAGAAACTAACTCAGTAACATGCAAGGGTCCAAAAAGGCTGACATCTCATGGCCACGTGAAGCAGCTCGTCCTCAGTGCATCCCCCAGTCACGTGACCACTGTCACGTGTCCACACATGGGCCCAGTGAATGGGCTTTGCAAATGTCAGGTCCTCCCACCGGCAGGTGTGCCATTAGCTCGGGATCGCTGCCGGTCGTATTTCACAGAAACAATAAGGAACAGCAGGAGGGTAGCTCCTTGAATAGCAGCCAGAAGAAAAAAGTAGTAGTTCAGGTAGCAGCCGTTAATATTACCTGCAGGAGAGTGAAAGGCAATGGACACATGTCAGCTGGGCTTAGAGACACTGCAGCGTTTACTGCTGAATTGGCTCCCCACTAAAGTCGGGCTCACTTTTACCTGTGGCCTGGAAAATACCACGTTTCTCTAATTCAAAGCCGTGCCCACGCCTCTAAAGACAGTGGTGTATCTGATCGGGGCTGGGGCCAGCACTCTATCAACACTCTGGCTTGTGATGGAGCAGGGACTCTCTTACCCTCAGGAAAAGTCTGACACTTCACGGCCACGTGAAACAATCTATTTACCCAGGAAACAGCCATGACCGTGACAGCTGCCGGCCAGGGTGTGACCCAGGTAGAGCAAGTGGTGGGATCGGAGCAGATAAGGGGTGCAAGGTAGCCCAGGGGACAGTGACAAGCAGTTCTCTGGCCAGGCTGCCTCCATGAAAACCACTGAGTCCACTCCCACACACTGGGGAAGCCCTGGGCCCCCGCCTCCCATCCGGGTCATTTCAGAGTAGACGGTGGCTCTTACCGAAGTCTGTGTGGCTGCTCATCCAGCCGATGGCTTTGACGGACACGAGGGCCAAGAGGCCGGAGCCCACAAAGGACCCAATGCCGGAGAAGAAGAAGAACAAGCCCATGATGGCGCTCTGCATGGACTTGGGGGCGGCCGAGTACGCAAACTCCAGACCTACGAGGAGAAGGTGCAGGCAGGCCGTAAAAGGAGTGGACCTCCCACCGCTGCAGCTCCCACCTGACCCGGCCCCAGGGGCACAAGGTCCCAGTCGGGCTGTGGGGCCTCCAGCCATACAATTCTCTCCCCCGTCTCAAGATGGTACCAACACAAGCTCCTGAGAGCTAAGGTTAGGACCAAGCCGCTGGGTCTCCTGTTCACCGTGAGACTTTCGAAGATAGGTAAGTCAGTGAGGCGGGAACTTAACCTCCTGCACTCAAACTTCAAGGTAGTGGTGGATCTGTTGGCACTTGCATTTGCTTTGTCTTTCCTCCCAGAGGAGGAGGTTGGAGCAGCACAATGCCCCTACGTCCCCCAGTCAGGGGTCTGGAGACAGAGTACACACGCTCTCTACGACGGGGAAAGGGCTCATGAGCCCTACTGCAAAGCAGGACTGTTAAGCCACTTTATCAGTTATGTTCATGAATTCAGATTCCCCTAATAACTGGGCACCAATCTTTGCAATCTATCCAGTAGTGTCACTAGGGCTGACGTCATCAGCGCGGTAACTCATGGTGTCACCCCGCCAAGGACCTCCTCCCAGACCAGACCACAAAGAACGCTTCATAATCATTATTATGAATTTTAATCAGAATAACATGTGATAAGTGCAGCTGAAAACCGCTTCAATATAGTATTTCTCAGATTATATGAATGCTAACAACAAAACCGTTTTATAAAAAAATCTGTCTACACGAAATCGTAACTTAATTAGTAACGGAACAGAAGGCTTTTTTTTTCCCCCTTCTTTTCCTCCGATTATTTCATCCTCAAAAAAATTGATATGGGTTCACAAATACTAATGACCACAATGTTTTAGCTAAAACACCAAAAAATTTGACAAAATTGGCAACTATAAAACACATGGGAGCAAGGAACAAAATGGTGTGTGCCTGCAGTGTGTACAGATTCAAAGCCTCACTGTGACCGGGTAATAATGACAGCTCTGACCCGAGCGCATCCTAAGGTTCAACAAGTCAACCAGCACTGACTATTCACCTTACAGGCATCTGTAGATGTATCAAAGCTGGGCTTACAAGGAATGTTTTGTTATCATAACTGTAGGGATATTTTTATACAATAGAATAATAAATTTTATAAACAGTCTCCAGTGTGGCCCGCAGCCTGTGACGGTGCACCCTGGTGTGGTGCCTGCCCCAGTGAGGTCCTGGAGTCCAGCCTGGGAGACAATTCCACCGTGACTTACCTTGCTCCCCACGCTCTCGCGCAACCTTGAACGTGTTTGCTGAGTGGAGTGGGGACCACTGCCTCCCACGCCCACAGGCCAGCCTGCCTCCTCAGCTCTGGAAATCACTACTTCTCCCTGCCCCCTCACACCACAGCCAGCCGGTCCGCACAGAACACTGTCCCCACCCAGAAACTGACTGGCATAAAGGAGAGGCCTGTGGCAGCACACGTTAAAAAACAGACTGGGTTTCTAGAAACGTCTGCACTGCCGTCATTAAGAGCCTGGCCCCATGCGGTCTGCCCAGCAGGACTCTTCTGCCCCTACCCTCTTCTGTGGCACCCACAAGGCAGCTGATGAATCTTCATGAAAACACTTTGGGAAGTGCTGTCCTTATGCCAAGAGAGGAAAACCCTAACCACGTATTGCTGTTTATTTTCTGATTCATATTCGTAACCACACATGCCGGCCAAAAACGCACAGTGCTGTGCTATGTCTGTGTCAGCACACCCTAACAGCACCGTAAGCATGCTGGTCTTCACTGTTTCGTGATGCGACTCGCGGGCGGTGCTCGGGAAGCTCACCTGCTATGCTGGCGAAGATCTCACTGATCCCGATCAGCACGTACTGTGGAAGCTGCCACCAGATGGTCAGGTCGGCCGCGTGATACAGGACACCTCCGATGGTCTGGTTGATGGTCTTATCTCTCACGAGGTTCAGCCGCTTGCTTTCCAGAATTCCTAGGATCCAGAGGAAGTGGGTTGGAGACGGTTTACGTATTAACGTTTGCAACTAAAACCTACAAGTCTGCTATGAAGACACTGGAACTGCCTGAACGGGTAAGTGTCCAATCATACAGCCTCCTTCCCGGGTGCCCACACCAAGGCATCTTCCAGCTCTCAGCTTCCCCAGGTTCCTAAAGGGTACAGACCACATATCTATCTCATGTGCGCTTTTTCCAACACTGTGGATTAAAGATGTGCGCGGTATCTCTAACATTAGGCTGGGAAGAAAGCCTCAAGTCCTCAACGCCAGGATGACAAAGCCAGTCTCTCCCAATTCCACCACGAAGCTAGACATCGTTATCAAAAGTATAACAGAAACAGGAGTTCCGGTCAGATGGAGCAATAGGCAGACAAGACCCTTGTCAACAAAGGAAAAAAAAAACCAATTGACACAGATACAGAAGATAATCCTGGAGCCCTGAGCTTTGAAAGGAACTATACAGAAGTGGGTTAGGCACCAACTAGTGGAAAAACCTGAACGAAAACAGTGAGTACAGAGCTGTGGACTGTCAGCTACTCTGATGGGACCAACAGCCTGTATATTCCCAAGTGGTATTGGGACCTGAGAATTGACCTAAAGATCAGCCCTGGTCACCAAGGGCTGCAGGGACAACTGTTCTGGTAGCCTATGACTAGGAAGGGAAACAGCAAGGAGGCAGACAACCTGAGCTGTGGACTTTCTGCTGTCTGGAGGGTGCAGACATTTTGAATATTTATATACAGCAGCCATTTTGAATGCTTATAAACAGTGGCCATTTTGGATATTTAAAGTGACCGAGGGCACAGACATTTTGAATGTTAACAACAAGTGGCAACCATTTTGGATTTTAAAGTGATAGCATTCTCATTTGGATTCCAGGGACCTAAGAACAGGCTCTGTTTGCCAAGGTTGGCAGGGACATATGAGAGGCTGACAACAGGAAAGGAGACAGGTGGTGAGTGCGTAAGTGCTGTCAACTAGTGAATAGAGGAGCACAGCACAGTACCCTGCCTGTATAGATAACATATAAACAAAACAAAAAAACGAAAATCGTGGGCTAGTCACTCCAACATGTTGTTGTTGTTTGCCATCGAGTCAGCCCCGACTCACAGCGACCCCTCCTTGGGTTTCCAAGGCAGTATCACTACGGAAGTAGGATTGCCCAACCTTCCTTCCAAGGAGTAGCTTGGTGGGTTTGAACCGCCAGCCTTCTGGTGAGCGGTCAAGTGCCTTAGGCACTATGCTACCAGAGCTCCTACTCCAACATACAATCACCAATTAAATATAAACACAAAAACATCACAATGCCTCGGAGACAACAGAGCATCACAGTCCACACAAAGAAGCAAGATAAAGCAGGAGAAACAAGGGCCCAGGATACAGACCCAAAACACATCCCTGAGGAAGATGCAGCACTGGAACTCCCTGATAAGGAATTCAAAAGAATTATATTTAAGTACCTTCAACAAATTGAGAGACAGATAAGGAAAATACAGAGAAAACCCTAGAACAATTTCAAACGACAATACAAGAACAAAATGACAAAATAAATGAAACATTAGAAATGACCCAAAATCTCCACACGGAAATCCAGAATAATGATTAATCCTAAATTTTCAGAAATAGGTAAGACACTGAATGGGCAAAGGAGCAGAATTGAATCAATAGAGACAGAATCAGGGAGACTGAAAGCAAATACCTGAACATTCCTTGGAAAGGGATAAATCAGAAAAAAGGTGAAAACAAAATGAAGAAAGCCTAAGGTTCATGTGGGATTCCATCAAAAGGAATAACCTACATGTAATCGGAATTCCAGAACAGGAAGAGACAAATAAAATCACTAAGAAAATCGTCCAAGATTTGTTGGAAGAGAATTGTCCTGGTATGATGAAAGATGAGAAAGTATCCATTCAGGAAGTCTAACGATCCCCAAACAGGATAGACTCCAAAAGAAAATCACCCAGACATATATCATCATCAAACTCACCAGAACCAAAGACAAAGAACCATGAGAGCAGCATGGGAAAAACAAAAAGTTACCTACAAGGGCAACCAGTAAGAGTAAGCTTGGATTTCTCGACAGAAACCATGCAGGTGAGAAAACAACGGGATGGTATATAGAAAACCCTGAAGAGAAAAATTTCCAACCAAGAATTAGGTATCCAGCAAAATTGTCCCTCAAATATGATGGTGAAATTAGGACATTTCCAGATAAGCAGAAATTAAGGGAATTTGTTAAAATGAGACCAACCTTACAAGAGATGCTAAAGGGAGTCCTTTGGACAGAAAAGCAACAACAGCCAACAACTGACCATTAACACACATGATGATATAACCCAGAAACCAACCCAGCTATGGAAGAAACCAAAGTAAATAAGCCTACAAGATTGTTAACAGGGAACCAGAGACGTCAACTGACAAATGAGCACAACTACAAACAAAAAGAGGGAAAAAACTGTGTCATTACAGAACTTCTAAATGACAGGGAAGTCAAGACAACTATGAGATAGAACGGCCTGTTCTAAACTTGGGAAGAAAACTATAAATCACAGGTAACTTCAAAGGAAAATGATACACCTTCACATCAAAAAAGAGGACCAGCATAAATATTCAGCAAATACTAAAACAATGCAATGAAAGAAGTGATAAACAAGATTCATAAAGAAAATGAACTCAGCATAGAAAATTATAAGGAACAAAGAAATCAACACCATGAAAAAGCACACAACAAAAATGACAGCAACAAATTCATATTTGCCAATAATTACATATCTGGCAAGGGACTTATCTCTTAAGATTTATAGTGGAAGAGTGGATGACCAAACTATGGTACATACACATAACGGAATGCTGTGCAGCACTAAAGAATAATATAGAGTCTGCAAAACACTGCATAATACAGATGAACTTGGAAGACATTATGCTGAGTGATATAAGTCAATCACAGAAGGACAAATATAGTATTAGTTCATTGTTGTGGAGGGTCAAGGAAAGGTTTACATATGGAGGGAAACTTT